AAAATAAAGAAAAGAAAAAAAAAGAAAGAAACAATCAATTCTAATAATATACTGACATTTTAAAAAAAAGACAGAGAACAGAACTTTGTTCATTAGAGGTGGGAAAGGGGGAATGGGAGGAGGATTATTGAGACATTAGTTAAGCATCACAAAGATTGATTATGTTTTATAAGCATGAGTATACTAATTATGCTGATTTGATCACCACATATTGTATACATGTATTGATATTCAATTCTGAACCCCACAAGTATATATAATCAATTACATTTCAATTTAAAAAACTGTCAAAAAATTAAAAAATAGATAAAAATAAAGACAAGAAACTTTTGCCATTTTCCTGGAGTCCCTTTCCCATATCATCCTTGTGTGCTCTTGGTGTTTTACAATCTTTGGGATCAATTCAGTCTGGCCCTAAAACATCCAAACTATAATAAATATCTTAGCACTGGTGTTCCTCTGCTTTGACTATATGAAAACTTAAATTATTATAGACCACACATATCAGCTAAGTGAAAGAGTAATGTTATTATTCAATGATTTTATTTGTAAATATTTGAGAAATGATCAATTGGCACTGTTCATTCATTCTGACCTCTATTCTAATGTGCCTTCCTGTACTTCAAAGGCTGGTAAGAAAAAAGAATACATTTCCCAGGCTCCTTTGCAGTGGCGTCTTCAAAGGAAAATTGATAAGATGCACCATGTGAAATTTAGAATGTTGAAATGAGGTGGAAGGCATTCTATGGTTTTGCATATTCTACTGTTAGAAGTATTCATGGAGTATTTGTTTCTTCAGCAACAGACTTTGGTGTCCGGACACTAAGTGCATAGGTGCTGTTGAGGCGGTTGCAATGGGAGTGGCAGCTGGAGCCCACTTTTCTGTGATCAATGATCAGGTTAGTGGGAGTCAAGAGGTAGTTTTGATTCTAATTCCCGATAGTTGGTTTGCAGCTGCACTGATATACTCTTGAATTCAATAGTTCCAAATACAACCTTCTGATTTCCCTCCTTGCTGATTGGGTGGAAGTATTCTAAGTAGGTCAGATTATTATTGCTCTTAAGGTTATTCCTGGAGATTCATCCTAGAGCCTGTGATTCTACAACACTTACAATGATCTGTAAGCACCCAGTTCTCTGAATTAACTTCATTTCTGCTTAAAACACCAATGGCAATGTCTTCCTCCCTTCATAAAACTTGCTTAATACAATAGATAATGAAATGTAGGCTTAATCCTGGAATAGTGATGATACTAGACCCCTTATGCTCATGTGTAATGGACAAAAGACTCCTTCAGCTGCAAATGTAAACATCACAACTAATATCTAATAAAGAAGGAAGAATTACTTTTATTTATGAGATACTTAATTTTCTCTAAGAAGTGCTCTACCTGTCTCCCTTGTAGCAGAACATTTAAGAACCTCACCCAGCAACTGTTTGTTGACAACATCAAGTTTTCTTGCTGTCCTTTTCCCCATTAGAAGGAAATTATTTCAGTTCTCTCTTAAAGAAGAGGGAGAGTGACTTTATCTCCAGAGCCAACTCAAGATAATTAAAGAAAAGTTATTGCCTAAACAAATTATAAAATTTAAAAATATATTCAAATTTATGACTATCAAAGTAATATTTTATTGTACAAAATGTGAAAACAAATATCATGTTTAATTCCATTATCTTGGAATAGCCACAAATATTTTGTTGTATTTTATTCCAGTATTTTTAGCCACATATTATTTACTATGAAGATTATTCTGTGTTAAAAATATGTTGTCAAATAATTGTAAAGTCTACACAACAGCCCATCATATCAATGTAGAAAAATTTAATCAGTCAAGCCCCATTGACTAAAATTTGGGTGGTTTCTGATTCTTTTATGAGCAACATCATTATACATATATTCTTGTCAATATTTTTTGCTGTTTACTAGATCAGACCTTTGGAAGTGAGAGATTAAGTCATAGCATACAAATATTTTTAGTGCTCATAATATATATTGCCAATTTATTTCCTGGAAGATCTTGCCAATTTATATTCCCATTACCAGCAGCATTTGAGAGTATCTCTCTTTCCTGCCTCTATACAGCATCAATTGTCATTAAAAAAACCCAATTACACATCAAAGTTACTTCCAGTTTCTGGTCCAGCATGTAAAAAGCTTGAGGGTTGTTCCTGCTACATAACAAGTAAAACACTGACTAAAGTTAAAAAAATCAGCATTCCTTCTTCGATCCATCAGAGAAGTGAGGTCACAGGGAAAATCACTGCCCTCAAAATTGGAGAGACAGATAGGCTAGATACAGAGAATCATAACTTACCGGAGCAGAAACCCCCAGATAGAAATATTTGCAGGAACCAGTGTTGGGGTAGGAAAACCTAAACTGTAGTTGATGAATTACTGGAGACTCAGTGTATACAAAGAATTCAATTCTCCATGGGGGCTCAGTAATACTACTTAATACTATCAGCCCACTGATAGGTAGGCTATCTAACTGTTTGCATTCATGAAAGCATGACATACCTAACTAAAATTTTTCCAATATATTTATTGGAAAAAAATCCACATATAGGAGGATCCTGCAGTTCAAATCCATGTCATTGAAGGGTTTGCCGTATACAGATAGGGAAAGAAAAAATAAAACGATCTTTCTTTGCAGATGACTTGATCTATGCAGAAAATCCAAAAGAACTGACATAAAAGTCTTCTGGAACTAGAACGTTTTTATGGCAAGATTTCTGGACACAAGATTAATATACAAACGTTAATTGCTTTCTTACATACAAAGAATGATCAAATGGAATTTGAAATTAAAAACACATTACTATTTATACTAGTACCCCTCCAAGATGAAATACTTAAGTATAAATTTAACAAAATACATACAAGATCTACATGATGAGAACTGCAAAATTCTGATGAAAGAAATCAAAGAAGAACTAAATAAATGAAGAGATTTCCATGTTCTTGGATAGGAAAACTCAAAGTGGTTGCAGTGTCAGGTCTTCCCAATTTGATCTATAGATTCGACGTAACCCCAGTCAAAATCCCAAAAAGTTATTTCGTGGATATCACCTGACTGATTCTAAAGTTTATATGAAGAGAGAAAAGACTCAAAATAGCTAACATGATACAAAAGGAGAAGAGCAAAGTCACAGGACTGACACTGCCAGACTTCCAGACTTCCTATAAAACTACAATAATTAAGACAGTGTGATATTGATGAAAGAATAGACAAATAGGGCGATGCAACAGAATACTCATAGGTCCACATAAATATAGTCGCTGATCTTTGACCATACAACGGAGAAAAGGTAGCAACAAATGGTGCTGGAGTCACTGGACATCCACATAAAATAATGAATCTAGACACAAACCTTATACCTTTCTTTGATATTCATGCAATGGAATATTGTTCACCCCTAAAAAGAAATGAGATACCAAGGTGTGAAAAGACATGGAGAAACCTTAAACGCATATTACTAAGTGAAAGAAGCCAGTCTGAAAAGGCTGCATATGATATGATTTCAACTATACGACATTAGGGAAAAGGCAAAACTATGGAGAGTAAAAAGATTAGTGGTTGTGAAGTGTTAGGGGGAGAGGGATAAGTAGGCAGAGCACAGAGAATTTTTAGGGCAGTGAAACTATTTTGTATGATGTGATAATGGTGGATACGTATCATTATATATTTGCCAAAACCCATGCAATGTACAACATCAAAGATGAATTCAATGTAAACTATGGGTTTGAGTGATAGTGATTTGTTAATGGAAGTTAATCGATTGTAACAATTGTACCACTCTGGTGGGAGATGTTGATAGTGGGGGAGGTTGCGCATGTGCGTGTGAGAGGGTATATGGGAACTTTCTGAACTTTCCGCTTAGTTTTGCTGTAAACCTAAAATTGCTGCAAAAAAAAAAAATTGTCTATTGCATAAAACAGAAAAAGGATTGTAGCATCAATTCCTGTCTGAGTTTCCAGTCTGCTGGCCCGCCCTGCAAATTTCAGACTTGTCACCTCCCACAGTTGCATGAGCCAGTCCTTGAAATGAATATTTTTGTCCATAAATTGACTGTAAATGACATGGTGTACTTGGGTGACTGGAGGGCAGAGGTGGAGATATTGGAGGTAGGAAATTAATTCTAAAAAAGGGGGATATTACTCACAGACACAAAACTTGCTTTTTCTGACCTTTGCTTCGGTACTAGAAATTGCAGTAGTAGATTGCTGAGGTCAGGGCCAAATAACCTAGTACAAGGCCAGGATGCTCTAGTCTGCTTTCCCTGGTTGTCTCATTATTCCTATTTCTTCTATTCAAGAAGGGACAGAGAGGAAAGGAAGACAGGCCTAATAGCAATGGAAGCAGGTGCCTGATCTTCATCCTTTAAAAACAAGATCTGCTGTTCAGCACCAAAAGTCATACCGTTTAAAACTTGGTCCAGGATGAACCTAATCCTGAGGCTCCAGAGATCTGTTTAAGTGTTCCTTTATCTCTTTGGGGTGCCCTGTGAATCATTGGAACATTTTTTGTGCCAAATTGTTACCAAACTTCCCTGCCTTGGGCAAATTATTGAACACAATTCTGCCTCAAAGAACTGATGTGAGGAACAGTGAGGAGCATCGTGGATGCTGAATAAATGTCCGTATTCTTATCCCTTTGCCTCATCCTGTGCCTGCCTCACTGGCGTGGAATTGCTCGGCTCCAGAGCTGGACACCATATGGCTTTGCTCACTATGGCTAGTGAACTGGTTTTAGAGGTGAGGTGAGGGGACGGTGTTCTGCTGTTTGTGATGGTTGCCTCACTGGGGTCAGAACAGAGGCTGAGGCAGAATACCTCACTCCACAGCTTAATAAAGGAGTGAAATGCCATTTTTGTTATATCCCTAACTCTGAGTTAACTGATAAACTTCCCTTAAAATCAATCATCAATCTGTGGGTGGTAGAACACTGGAGGGATGAAGGGCAGGTATTGATCAGGGCACCAGGATCAGGCATCACAGTCACGGTGAGAAGAATATTTTCCCACTGCCAAAAAGTTTACCCAAAGCCTCCTTCATGTCTCTGTTCCTCAGGCTATAGATGAATGGGTTTAGCATGGGAATAATCACCATATAGAGAATGGCAGCCCTACTTTCCCTCTCTGCAGAATACGTTGATGGGGGCAGTAAATACACACCCATAAGAGACCCATAGAAGAGCAGAACCACTGTGAGATGAGAAGCACAGGTAGAGAAGGTCTTCCATCGCCCTCCGGGGGATGAGATGCCAAACACAGCCCAGGAAATGCAGATATAGGAAAAGACGATCAGCAAGAGGGGAACGGTGAGGAACAGCAAGCCCATGGCGAGGATCATCAGCTCATTAACGTGGGTATCTGAGCAGGCAAGCTTCAGTAGAGCACTGGGGTCACAGTAGAAGTGGGGGATGGCCCTCTGGGCACAGAAAGCCACACGGGTCAGCAGCAGCGTATGCATCAGGGCAGGACAGTTGGTCAGCACCCAGCACATAGCCAGCATTAGTGCACAGAGTTGGGGACTCATAGCTGTGCTGTAATGGAGGGGCTGGCAGATGGCCACATAGCGGTCATATGCCATCACAGCCAGGAGGCAGTTGTCAAGGCCACCAAACATAAGGAGGAAATATAGCTGTGTAAGGCAACCAGAATAAGAGATGGTCTGACTCTGGGTATGAATGTTGGTCAGCATTTTGGGGACTGAGGCAGAAGTGAAACAGATATCAGTTAATGATAGGTTGGCTAGAAAGAAGTACATGGGAGTATGGAGGTGTGGGTGAGAGATGATGGCCAAGATGATGAGCAAGTTTCCCACCAGGGTGACCAGGTACATGCCCAAGAAGATGCCAAACAGGAGAGGCTGCTGCTCTGGCTCAGAGATTCCTAGGAGGAGGAAGTCTGAAACAGCAGTTTGGTTCACTTTGATGGGTTTTCTCATCCCCTGCAGCTCTTGTTATCTGTACAGATAAACCCCTTCCACGTGTCAGTATTTAATTATTAGATAAATTTACAAAATTATCTCTGTGACCAGAATTGTGCTGGGGGAAAAAAAAGGTGAATAAGTGGTCCTTGCCAATGAGAATCTCTGGATATCATTGTGGATGCAAGAAAATACCCATGAGATGTTTAGAGAACAGTTAAGACAAGATCCAATCAAATATAAATTGTGTCTTTTATGCGAGAACAGGGTCCAGAGAAAAGAAATCAGTTTGGCCAGAGAAGTTTGCATAGGGTATTGGGAGCAGATGAGAAATTAGCGTGGCCTTGATGGCAAGATTAGAAAAGTCATTTATGATTGTCAGTTGGAAAGGAGATGTGTGGTCTCCATTACTCCCCTTCCCCATCCCCCAACACACACACGTACACACAAACACACACAGCATAGCCATCTGCGTGGGGCTGAAAATGACTTTGAAGGACAAGATAGCTTCTTCTTCACTTGCTTCCAATCCCCACAATTTGACCTCACCCATAAGACCTGTCCTGTACTCTTCTCTAACTAAGAGCACAGGGTATGTGGACAGAGGGCAGTGAGTGTCCGTGGAGTTCCACTCTCCCACCCACTGTTAGCACGTCCCCTCTGCAAACAGGACAGGGGGCCAGCCTCTGCCATGTACCACTCTCTCTCCTTTATCTCTGTCCTCTTCCCTTCTGGCTCCTCCACACTTGAATCTGCTCTGGGAACTAATATTTTAATCCCCCTGTGCCTTCACCCCTACACTTGTGCCACATCTCACTGATATTTACTTTTTTATCAGAGAGGGGAAAGGTTAAAGGTATCAGATTCTGCTTCGAAATAGCCACTCTGTCAGTCTGTTCTAGGATTTAGAGCAAGAGCAAGCTGGTATAAGGAAGCCATCTCATATTGGCCTTGGTGAAGCTGTGACCTTAGAAGCTTTTATAAATATTTCAGTCCTCCATTTGTTTCTCGGTTCATAGAGAGGCATCTGACCTCAGGCAGAGACTCAACTCACCTACTCCAGAAATTTTTGCCTGGTATTTGGCTGGGAAGGGAGATGGGTTTTTTTGTTTTCTGGGGTGTGTATGTGTGTGTGTGTGTGTGTGTGTGTGTGTGTGTTTGCATGTGCATGTCCTACCCCTTCCAGATCCTCACCTGTCAGGGTGTAGATCAGTTGCAGGCATCTTCAACTTCTCCAATTCTCTACTTTGGATGGAAAATCACAATGAGGAACTCCCTGGGACCTTTCTAACTCACGGTCAGTAAATTTGGGGTCCATCGAGTTCAGAGTTTATTAGGAACACCTAGTGCATGTGACTCAATTTCAGCTTCCCCAGGCCTGGGAAGACAGGAGCACTTCTTAGGGTTATAAAGGCTCCTGGATCACCTCCCAAAGTGCTTGTTAGAGCCAACCTCAGTGTTGTGCAGCCTGTTCTCCAGCCAGCTCTGCCTGGGTCCTGGGGGAACTGAGGGCATCTCTTCCCCAGGGGTTAAACTCTCAAACGTGGGTCTTGGGAGTGTGGGAGTTTTGCTGGAACGCAGTGTACTTCAGCCTGACTAGCAGGTCTCCTGGGAACTCCTGCCTATGTGCTGGACAATTCAGTGCCTGTCCTGTGCCTTAGGTAAAACTGATGGAAGAAAAATTGAGGAGCATAAGTTATAACATGACTATTTCTTCTGGTGATTTCTCTAAATAGAGTAATCATAATATGAAGCAACCCTCTCAAAAAGTCCAAAACTCCCAATTTAATGAGGCAGTCTATGTAAAGCACTTAAGCCATAATGTCTCATACACAGCATCTGTGAAAAAAGCTACTCATATCTCCTGTATTTTAATTAATACTAGCTAATTCTCATTGAGCACTTTCATTACATGACCTCAAGTAATAGAACAAGCTTAGGATGTGAGAACTATGGTCATTCCCATTTTACAGATAAGAAAACTGATGCCCAGTGAGGATAATGACTTGATCAAGGTCATAAAAGAATTAAATGGAAGGAGTGGAATTTCAACCAGGTGGTACGATTCTAGAGTTCATCTTCGTAACCGCTGTGCTTCACCCCAGTGTCACTGCTGGTTTTGATCATTAACAGTTAATAGGTATAAAATAATCAAATTGTTTTTAAAAACTTGCATTTCTTTGTTACTAGTAAGATTGAACATTTCTTTCATCTGGTTTTTAACCATAGGTAATTATTCCTCAAATTGTCTTGTTAATGTATTTGTTCTTTTTCTACTGGGGTGTTTGTATCTTTTTAAATGGGTATTGAAGACAGTAAAACAAAATAAAACATTTTATTCTTGTTGTATTTTTTTCTGTCTTAGTCATTCTATTATGCATAGAAGTTTCAAGAAGTTACTTTTTGTTGTCAAAGTTGACAGACAGTTTGCTTTGTGATTTTTTCCCCCATTATCTTTATATTCAAAAGTCCTTTCCACCTATAGGTCAGGGAAATTTCACTTAGTTATTTTTTCTAAATTTTAAATACTACATTTAAATCTTTAATTTACCTGAAATTTATGTTGTGTGTAGTTGGAGAAAAGGGGGTCTACCTTCATTTTTAACTTTTTATGGATAGACAATTGTATCAGTACCATTTTTGAATAACTCCTGCATGCTGTGTTTGTTTGCTAGGTCTGATCATCTTTCCATATCACTTGGGCAGCTCAGAGCACGGCGCAGGGTTTTGAAACCAAGCACCTCGAGAGAAAACATGCTAACAGGCCAAGAAATGAGAGCTGCGTGACTTCATAAGCTTTGGAATTTAGCTTTTGGAATCCCAGAATATCACTTTCCCTGCCTCTATAGGTCGAACAAATCACTAAGGGCAGGCCAGTCACTAAGGAAAGGAAATCAGCTCTCTCCCTCAATAAGAAGAGCAGCAAAGAATTTTTAGCTGTCTTTAATTTACATAGCCTGCACTCTCGTCACAAATTATTTACATTCCTCTCACATTCAAAACAAACTCACCCCCAAGCCTCAGAATCTCATCCTTCTGTAACATCAGGTCAATATCCAACATAGTGTCATCTAAGTGAGGTCCATGTGAAAATGAATTTCCTCACATGCAGTTCCCTGTGTCCTGTTCCTCTCAATCTGAAGAACTGAGGACGTAAGAGACAAGTTGTCCTCCCATTCACACACTTACACAACATTCTGGTGATACAGACGTGGGGTAACTGCAGTAAACACTCCCGATTCTTGCAGTGGGATGAGTGGGTAGGACGGAGAGATAGACAGGAAACACACAGCCACGTTCCGTTCATTCTCGTTGCTGCTAATGTTTTACTGATGGATGTACCCCCATTCATTCTTTCTAGTATTGGTAGGTATTTAGATGATTTGCAGTTAGGTATTTTACACATAGTAGTGACATAAACATTCTAGTACATACCTTTTGGGGAATACACATACACATTTTGGTTGAATATATGCCTAAAGGAATTTTTGAGTCCTAGGTTTTGCATAGGTTCAGCTTTAGATTTTCAGAGTGATTGTCATATATGTGGAAACAGTGATATATGGGGATTCTAACTATTCCTTATCCCACCAACACTTGGTATAGTCTCTTTCACTTCAGTTATGTGGTAGGTGTGTAGCAGTAACACATTGTAGATTAAATTTAAATTCTCCTAATGAAGTTGAAAATATTTTTATAAGATTGCTAGAACATATGATATATTTTGTAATACATATTTTCAAGTCTGTTGGTTTTTAATTTTATTTTTAATTGACAAATGATATTTGTATATATTTAGGTGGAACAGGATAGAGAGCCCAGAAATAAACCCACACCTCTACTGTCAATTGATTTTTGACAAAGGTGTCAAGAAGACACAATGGGGAAAGGACAGTCTTCAAAAAATGGTGTTTGGAAAACTGGATATCCACATGCAGAAGGATAGAATTGGACCCCTATCTCATACCATATACAAAAAACAACTCAAAATGGATTAAAGACTTAAATATATTACCTGAAACTGTAAAACTACTAGAAGAAAACATAAGGAAAAAGACCATGACATTGGTCTAGGCAATGATTTTCTGGATATGACTCCAAATGCACAGGTGACAAAGCAAAAATAGACAAATAGGTGTGAAAGTTTTTAAAACAATTTTTTTGTCAGACCCAGACAAAATAGGACAGGGAAAGGCAAAAAGAGGCTGGGGGGTAGGGATGGGGCACTCACGCTTGCTTGTCTGAGATAAGGACTGTTGCCAAGGACTTTATAAACCCCCCACAAGAAATCCCGTCATGTTCTTTACCCATCTCCTGCTTTGCATCACTTGCACATTTCGCACATATGCACATATTTCTTTGACAAGGTTTATTTCTAGAAGTTTTTTAGAACTGCAGTAATTCAGATATAATGCTCTGGAGGAACACTTGCCCAGTAGCAGCATCTCCACCAGTGAACTGATAACAAATCTGGCATCGAGCCTCCAAAACCAATGAACTCTGTTTCCAAGCAACTTACTTGAATCTCTCCCTTTTGCCAATAAAAACTTTCTCTTACCCTTCCCTCACTGGATGCATCCGGTGGCTTGCCACGGCTGTGTATTCCAGACTACAATTCTGTTTTCTCATTCCAAAATAAATTAAACATATTTGAAGATACTTTTTTCTAATTTTTTTAAGGTTGACAAAGGGTTGCGTCGAACTAAAAAGCTTCTGCACAGCAAAGGAAACAATTAACAGAGTGAAGAGACAACACACAGATTGGGAGAAAATAAATGTAAACCATACAGCTGATAAGAAGCTAATGTCCAAAGTATATAAGAAATTCAAACTACTTGATAAAAATAAAACAAATAACCCTCTCCATTTGCTTAGTGGTGCCTTTTGGTAAACAGAAATACAAAACTATGCTATCTACCCTAAATAAATCTTCGTGCAGGATAAGCATGTATTGAAATAACACACTGTACCCCACAAATATGTACAAGTAAAAGTTAAAACAATTTTTATAAAAAGTT